TCTCTGACCGCCCTCCCAGTAGCAAAGCCAATGTCAAAGAAACCTCCAACCATGTCAATTGATCCATCAGTCTCAGAGCCTCCTGTGGGTATCTGAAGTCCTCTGCTCTTCCTCTTCTGAACCATCCCTTGCAGGATCAGACCACTCTAATTCTGAGAATGACGAGCCAATACTTACCCCCCCACGGCCCTGAATCTGAACTCATTTGGTATGGTTCACTGTCCCCTACAGAAGGATCTAGTGCCTACCTGGAACTGAACAAGCAATTAGCTGAAGTCCTTCAGGTCCAGATGGTGATGGATACCCCTAAAACAACAGACGTCCACAAACTTGTATAGATCTACCACTTCCCACCATCCTTCCTATGCTCCCAGTTTACTTGGAGGGCCTCAAAGAGGCCTGGGTGTCACCTGCGTCTGTACCCTTAGTTTCCAAGAGGCATGATACCCTGTACAAGGTCCAGGAATCTACAGCTCAATTTCTTTTTACCCATCCTGTGCTAGATTCAATGATTGTTCATTCTTCAGCCAAAAAAGCATTTGCTTGCTGTTTTCTTGATCTGCAACCAAATACCTTCAGGCATTTTTACAAAATATTGCTTGGTTGAAGTTGTGGTTCCATCTTCATCCTGTTGTAGCCACTCAATGAACCAGACTAGCCTAACTGCAAAACAGTGCAATTTCAAATTAGGTATACCTATCCTACCATTTTTCCAGCCATCCTGTGCTGACTTCTTACCTTTTTTTGGACTTTTGCTTTCCCATATAAAGGCTACCCACATTTTCTGCCATTGTCTTAGAAAGTTGTCCTCCTACTACTACTACTACAATAGAGAGATTCTGAAATAAAGATAATAGCTTGGAGAAAGCCACCATTTTGAATGCATTTATTCTCCCTAATAAAGATAATTTCAAGGATACCCAATAGGAAATTTAAAAAACATACCTTTAACCAATGGATCCAAATTCAGATTATACAAAATATACTCTTTGGAGAGCGTGATTCCTTGGTATTTTAACTGTTTTTCTTTTGTCAATATCTTCCAACCATGCAGATTTCTTTATACATGCAAAGCCCTACACTAAAACAGATGACTGAGTTTTCCTAGTGTTCGCTTTACTATCAGCAACTGAGCTGTGTGTTTTTATTTATCTCAAGGGCATTAGATCAATTTCCAGTATCGGTCAGGAAGATCACAATACCATCAGCAAAAAAGATTAAGTTTATATTGCTTGTTTTCCACTGAAATTCCATAATATTTCTTCCATTCGTCTAATCAGAATTGCCGTTGGTTCCAATGAAATAATGAACAAAAGGGCTGACAATAGACATTCTTATTTCACTCCTCTGTTAATCTCTGGGGGTTGGACAGCCTCTCGTTTAGTTCCAGTTGACTTCAAACATATCGTTTTTACCTTGTTTATAAATTCTACACCAAAATTGAAGGCCTGGAAAGAAGTATACTTTGTATTCTATTTTTATCTGTTCCGTATAAAAATACGTCATTTTTAGACTTCTTTAGTAATCAAGGTGTCTCGGATGACATCAGGAAACCAACCTGAAAATCTAGTCAGGAACCTAAAAGGTTGAGCTAAAGTTAAAGCATGAAATAAAATATAGTTATTTATTACACAGTGCACAAAACCTTCAGATTAAAAACAACGTATATTGAATACAAATAAAAGCTCAGAACATAGTATACAGCAACAAGTGTAAGTTGCAGATACAGTAACTACTGGATCTCCATAATGGTTAAACATACATAATACAGAGGACCAGATGTATTTCAGTCCGAAGGGTTTCTTCAGTGGTCTAAATTGTATTCACACACACACACACACACACACACACACAAATGTAAATATAAAATATCTTTTTTAGGCCAAGCAGGTTGTGTATTAGTCCAAAAATAATTTAAAAATACTAATGTAAGAATATTATTAAATTGTAACAGGCTGACTTTTCAGAAGAAAAATGTTTTTTCAAAAAATGTTTATAAGGAATGGTTGGTACTTACACTGAAAAAGTATTGCTCCAAATAATAGTTATAAATCAGACCTACATATACTGAGGAGCCCACACTCATCAGAGATGGTAACTATTAACCACCATTCTGTGAAAGAGATAGATGGCATAGCATCAATGTGCAATTGATATTATTTGAGTAATATGGAGAATGCCCCACTAAAAATCAGAAGTAATCCTAAAAATTATTTGAGGAATTTTCACATACAGACCTGTTCTTGGCCATTGCTCTATTCCCAATATGTGTTCATGTATAAACCAGAAATGAAGGGAATCTAAAAGTGGTTTTAGGAGGTCTAATATAGAAATTGGAGGGGAGGAAGGATGATCAGTCTCACTGACGAATGTGCAACCTGGTTTCAAATTCTAAAAGGGAAGGGTAAGAAAAGAGGAAAGAGGGGAAATGGGTTATGGGAAGAGTACACCACACCTTAAAAAGGATATTATAGCTTTGGAAAAAGTGCAGCAAAGGGCAACTCGAATTATAAAAGGGTTGGAACACTTTCCCTATGAGGAAAGGTTAAAGTGCTTAGGGCTCTTTAGCTTGGAGAAACGATGACTGAGGGGTGACATGATTGAGGTTTATAAGATTATGCATGGGATAGAGCAGGTAGAGAAAGAGGTACTTTTCTCTCTTTCTCACAATACAAGAACTCATGGGCACTCCATGAAATAGCTGAGCGGTCGGGTTAGAACGGATAAAAGGAAGTACTTCTTCACCCAAAGAGTGATTAACACATGGAATTCACTGCCCCAGGAAGTGGTGGCGGCTACAAGCATGGACGACTTCAAAAGGGAATTAGATAAGCATATGGAGCAGAGGTCCATCAGTGGCTATTAGCCACAAGGTATAGATAGGGACTCTGGGGCAAGTGATGCTCTGTCTTCTTGGTGCTTGGGGGGGTCAACAGTGGGAGGGCTTCTAATGTCCTGGCCCCACTGGTGGACCTCCTGAAGGCACCTGGTATTTTTGGCCACTGTGTGACAGAGTGTTGGACTGGATGGGCCTTTGGCCTGATCCAACATTGGCGTCTCTTATGTTCTTATGAGTAGTGTGTAACTGCCTGAATGATTGGGTGGGATGAAACCTAAATGCAGAATGTGAACAATGAAACATACAGAGCACATTATGGATCAATACATATTTAACCAGTCAGTCTCTTCATTTAATCTTTTTGGCTCCTGCATACCAACTTCACAAACAGATGCAGAAAAGAAGAGGAGGAGGAGGGGGAGGTTGGATTTATACTCTGCCCTTCACTACCCGAAGGAATCTCAGAGAGACTTAGAATCTCCTTTCCCTTCCCCTCCCCACAACAGACACCCTATGAGGTAGGTGGGGCTGAGAGAGCTCTTTTGAGAACTGCTCTTGAGAAAACAGCTTGACCCAAGGTCACACTAGCAGCTGCATATGGAGGAGTGGGGAATCAAACCCAGTTCTCCCGGAGTCCACACGCCTAGCCACTTCACCCAACTGGCTCTACACCAAAGAGACTTTATGGATTTTCACTTTGAGAACTTTATCACCGCATGGATTAAATGAAGAGATTGGTTATATATACATATTGATCCATGATATGCTCTGTATGTTTCATTGTTCACAGTGTTCTACATTTAGCTTCAACTCCCCCACCCCCTTCGATCATTCAGGCAGTTCCACACCACTCTCTTCCTCCCCCCTTTCCCCCTCTCCTCTTTTTCTACCCCTCCCTTTTAGAATTTGAAAACCAGGTTGCACATTTGTCAGTGGGACTGCACTATTTAATAAATAGTTATATTTTATTTTATGTTTTATATCAGGGTGGCTGACCTGCAGAAGCAGAGACAGTCAGTTAGGTACATGGATAAGACTCTCGGGGACTTGTTAGATGTGTTCCACTCCCAAGATTGGCAGCCCCACCACTGTCAGGGAGCATGAGGGTCAAGGGGAAACAGGGCACCATGCTGAAGAAAGGGGGAATGTTCCCTCAGAAGGGACCCCTTCTACAATTGGCAAACAGGTATCCTTTCACACCCAGGAACCATCTCTGGGCAGGGAGGGTGGGGGGATCTTGGTAGTTAGTGACCTGATCCTTAGGCATGTAGGTAGATGGCTGGCAAACCCATGTACTGACCACATGGTGACTTACCTGCCTGGTGTGAAGATGTCAGACATTACACATGGTCTAGATAAGCTGGTAGACAAAACAGAACACCCACCCACCCCCGAAAAAATATCTTATTGATATCTTTCTAGTATTATTTAAAATGAATACAGATCAGAGCTGTGCTTGACAAAAAGCCAATATTTTGGGCTTTTATCCAGATCCATTCAGCTGTACCAAGAAGGCACATTGGCTTTTATAGTGAAAGCACATTGGCTCTGATCGGGTGGTTTCAGCCTTACTTTCTGGACCAAAATTGGAAGGTGACATTACGTATGCATCTGTAATTGACACGAGGCTAGTTTCAAGGAGGCCTCACAAATAATATTTTTCTTGTGTCATTTGATTCTGTATTGGAAGATTCCTTTTTTGGTCCTGTATCAACTTGTTAACTGCCTTTTGATTGTAACAGGAGCCCATATGTACTGCAGTGGCTAGAAAAGCTGTCTAATGGCTGCCACCACTCTGGTATGAGTCTCCTCAGGAGGGCCCAGAGCACCCACCCTACCCCTTTATACACTCCTTTTCCAATAGGTTTCCCCTTATATGTGACTGGATGAGACGTGATGACCCAGGCAGAGTAACAAACTATTTTTATGAAAGAGATTTAACAACTACAATTCAATAACTTGTTGAAAACATGAACACAGTAAAGGTAGGTAAACCAGCAAAATAAGAAACCATAACACGTCTGAATACACTGTACTTAGCCTTCTCTAGGTATTTGGCTTCCAGCTGAATCCAATCCATTGTGTGTTACCAAGACCAGGTAGTCCTGACAAGTGACAACCAATACTTTCTACAAATTTTGTATCTTTTGTTTCTCTGCAGGTATATCAGAATAGTTGGAACACACAACACAGTGAACAAGGTTTTCCATATTGTGGCTTTTGAATGCATGTTTACCAACAAAACTTTTACTCTTGAGAAAGGTCTCATAGGTAAGCTTGACTGCATAATTTCTTCCATTGTTTCTTTATTTGTTCCTATTGTTGCCAATAGCACACAATTATAATAGCATAATGTCTGGATTTTGAGGAGCAAGATGTGCTATAAACCAGTGTAGAATAATCAGGCCCATAGCCATGGGGGGCTTGGAGCGATGCCCCTTCCCAAATTTGCCCTGCCCACTCCCCTCCCAGTCCCCCCTCCCTCGGGAACCCAGGGGCCGCAGGAGCCAGGATGTGAGCTGCAGCTGAAGCAGGAGGTGGAGGGAGAGGAGTGGCCTCTGTGCAGCCTCCCTGGGTCTCCTTCTGGCTGCAGCCTAGCAGGAGGGGAGGGAGAGGCACAGCCTCTGTGCCCAGAAGCAAGTGCGCTGCACTTGCCGCCAGCCATCCTGCCTGTCCTGGGCAGCATGTCTGCCAGGAGTGCAACCGGCTGCTGGTAGGGAGACATGACTCAGCAGGATGGGCACTGGCTTGGTCACCTCTCTACTGCCCTCGAAGGCCGAGCAGGCACAAGGAAGCTCTGGGCAGAAAGGACTCTCCTGGAGGCCAGGCAGAGCACCAGGGCCTGGCCTTGAGTCCCTCGGGCCCGGTTGCCTCGAGCCCTGGAGTGTTCCGCTGGCATTTGCCCCAAGCCAGAGGGGGAGTGTAAGCAGAGACCATCCTGGAAGGGACCGGGGAGCACCAGCCAAGCCACCACTTGGGCCACCAAGGTAGTGGGTGAAGAGGGAGAGGAGAGCTCGCCTGCTGCCCAGCCTGCCTGCCTCCTCCACACCGGGATGGCTAGAGTGACACTTAATTAGATGACCACTAATTATATTAGTCACTGATTAGTGGTAGTCTAATTAAGCTCCCCACTTCCGGTATTTGCACCCCCCACCGAAAATTTCCTGGCTATAGGCCTGAGTATTACAATGGTTAGAGTGGTGGACAAAGAATGGGGAGACGAGGTTAAAATCCGCACTGAGCCATGAAGCTCACTGAGTGACCTTGGGCAAATCATCATAAGTTATTACCTCACAAGGCATTTATGAGCGGAAGCAGGTTGAAACATGTAAGCCATCCTGAGCTCCTCAGGGATGAATAGGATAAAAATGTGACAGACAGACGTTTTACCTGCAAATCCTATTAAAAGCTTATCCTATTGGGTTGCATGCATGTATATGGCTCTACGGAAGCTTAAATGCCTTTTGTTTAGCTAAGTGCCTTCAAGGTTCATATGCAGGCTTGTGATAAGTAAGCCGTTTCTAGTTTCTGGCTTTGGCACAGTATCCATGCTCTATTTCCACATGATATTGCGGCAACCCACCAGTATTGTTACCCGATACAAGGGCAATATTTCTGGCAACATTGTCAGAACAGAAGTAGTAGTACAGGGTAGTGTATTGACAGGGCAACCTAGGTTACCTTTTGACATCAGGACAGTAGTAGAAGTCATGGTGCTGTGCTGGCTCAGCAGTCGATTGCACTTCATCATAAATAATTACTTGCTGATGTAACAGATTACAGATTCAGATTCTCAAATAAATCAAATTCTTATCATAATTCTTTTTCCTTTACAAATTGATCCTAAGGTATAGTGCCTTGGTTTCCAGAAGCAGCCCTGTGCCAGCTTTCTGTGTTGATTGCTGACTTGAAAGAGAGTTTTATATTCATTTTCTTTCCAGTCTAAATGGGAAATCCTGATATTGCAAAACCTGCAAAGCTTAAGGTTGTAAAGTTTTAAATGTCTCTTTTATAGCAAACATTAAATGGCAAGTTACCCTTTCAGAAGTGTTAAATTTTACTAAAGAATAACAAAATATTAAAAGGATGTCATTATCTTTTGGAAAATGTGGCATATAAATGTCATATAACCATGTGCAAAATTTATTTGAATTCTGACCCGGTGATGATCAGTGCAACCTTCTTTTTTTATTGGCGAATAAATAGTATGTAAAAATGTATAGTGGTTTTAAGTATCATATATGGAAGACTTTTTCTGATATTCTGTGAGCTTTAGCTATTTTAATGCCGGCTGTAGAATCTTATCTTAGTGATTCTGATGTAACAGAATAATGTGACCAAAATTTTTCAACTTTTTATCTAACAATTGTTCTTGGGCTTGAATTTCTGAAGTTTATGCTTAGTTGTGTGGTACTGTAGTTCCAGAGATTGTTATCTATACATTCAAAATATTGTTATTAACATTTTAAACTTTAAAAATGCAAAGAGTGCCAGGTTTTTAGACAATCCTGAGAAGGTTCTAGACTTGCTTTTCAAGTAATGTCTTTCCCATATTCAGAAAATGTTTGTTTTACAACAAAGAGACAGGTTGCAAGTGGTTTGCGCCACATATGTCCATATTGGACTGCTCTGCATGGAATAACATGGGGTAGACTCTATTATTTAATAGATTTCACTTCAACAGTACTTATTAATTTTTGACTATACATGTCTGTTCTTCAGGTTGACATGTAGTTTAATCACACCTAAATTATAGTTCGGTTCCTAATTTGACATTCTATTTGCATAGCAGTGTTCTCATTGAGTGCTAGTGGAGGTTGATTTTCTCTGTTTCCTCCTCTCATTCTAGACTTCCACATTGCCCCACAAACTGTTCTGAAGGTCCAGTGCCTCTTTCTGGAAGACAGTAGCCTGCCAAACAGGTGGGCAGTTAAATGTTTATCTGTGGCAAATGTTTTAAAGAATCACAACCTGTGTATCTACTTTTCCTAAGCAGATAACACAGGTTGAGATTCTGTAAAATATTTGCCAAGGATAAAATTTAGCCTGAGGTAACTGTTCTTAGTGTTTTGCCACCATTTTTTAAAAATAGCAGCCATGACTAACAAATTGATTAAATCTTGCTATCTCAGTATCTGTGAAACCAGTTTTGAATTTCTAAATGACTTTAAATAGGTATTATAATAGACTACAAATTTCCTTTGGCTTCTGATGAGTAATGGCCCATTGTTGGCAGATATAAGGCTCTAAGTGCAAAAGGTATTACTGTTGACTACTTTTTGGACAACACAATTGGAAAGAGGAAAGTTGTATTATTTATTTCTGCAAAGCCACTTATAGTGGTATTAATGCTGAAAGTACAAATATAATATATGTAAATAAACTGCTGTAACTCAAAGTAGAAGTAAAGTCTGTGTCATGGTTGTACAATAGATAGTCTCATTCTTCTCTATTCTTCTCTATAGATAGTCTTGATTCTTCTCTATTCTTCTCTATCGCTGTCTCCGGATAAATCTGGTGTAATGGTTTTTGTTGCTCATCTGAGTGTCCACTTTAATTATTTTAAAGCAATTGCACTTGTGTCGGGCAGTCTGCTCTTGGTACGTGCCACAGGTTCTAATGTATCCAGCTTGGAGGTTCACCCAAATTGTTGGATGTGCATGATGTGCATACATCTGTTCACAGATTTACAGGTGTGCTTGGAGGTGGTAGTGTTTTGAGGAATCATGATCTGAAGCAAATCTTGCAGAATCATTTGCCAGCATGTACAGGCTCAAGTGATGGTCAGACTATTGATCTCACGGTTAACATAAAGGATCATTGGATTATTATTCACTTACTGAAATCTGTTATATGATTTAGATCACTTAAACATCAGTTTTGGGGCCTGGCTTTGGATGCTATTGGGAAGCATGTTTCCCTTCCCCATAGCATTATGGTCCTTCTGTCCCTCTCTGGGCATTTTCCCATCTTTCTTGCTATATTTCCCAAACCTTCTCTTTTCAATGTTTTGGTCAAGATCATAACAAAGCCAGGCTAGCGGCCATGTGGATGGGGAAAGTCCAGATCTTCCTGCTTCCACCACATTGATGTTGTTTTCCTTGCCCCAGTTGCAGTGATGGCCATTCCCCCACTGTCAATGGAGGTTGTTCTTTTTTAAATGGGCACTTGACATATTGTTATAGCCTTATAGCAGTTGGTCAGTCAGGTTCTCCGAATTCCACAGGCTACAATACAAAGAAATATCTGAGACGCTGAAAAGATGGTTCAGGTGGAACATACCTCCAGCTTTCTTCTGTCCCTCCTGTATGCAGACGATGAGAAAAGCGTCATTCATTGAAGGTGCCTGGGGTGGGGCTGTGCTGGTCTGTCTCAGTGTACAGCAATAGGGACTTCCCTTCTTCCATTTCTCCTGCCACTTTCCTGAAATCCCAAATTCCATTTCTCCAGTGGGACAGTCTACACCTCTGGGAAGAAGCTCCTCCTGCAGGCAGGCAGGGCCGCCATTTCTTTGCAATTCCTGTAGTAGGAAGGGCTTTTCCCTCCATCCCGTTTTTGGTCCTGCCTCATGACAGATGGTCGTCGCTGACTGTGCTCTGCATGGAGCTCACAATTCCCTTTATTATTTTAGATTTGTATTTTAACTTTTTATTTTGGCCTTGGCTATCCAGCATGCCCCCCATATTGGGTTGGCTGAGGGTGGGAGGTTTTAGCAGCTCTTGGGAGATGCCTTCAGAGGAGGGAAGGTTTTCTCCCTCCCCCCTCACCCAAGCCTCTCTTGGGGAGCTGTTTGTAGTCTCCCTGACCACTCCTACCCTGGTGGGTCTTCCTGGCTACAGAGGCTCCAGCCTCGACGAAGCTTTGGGAGCAGAAAAGTCCTACCAGTCTCTCCCCTCCCTTCCTATATGCCATTAGAGATGCCTCAGTGGAGGCCCCAGGAGCTGCCCACAGCAGCAGGGAGACTTCCTCACTGCCCCGGTCCTCTCTGACTGTGGTGGAGCTTCGGAAGTGGGAAGGCCCTGCCTTCTTCCCCCACTCCCTCTCGACTGCTCGCCATCCCAGATGCCTTCAAGGAAGCCCAGGGAGCCATCTGCAGTGGCGGGGAACCTTCCCTGCTGTTCCAGCCCTCAGCAAACATCTCTGGTGGCAGGATTATCAACCTCCAACCCAGGAGCTGAAATGGAGGTATGGACAGGCTTAGGCAAGTCCATGCCCCAAGAGGATGACCCATCCAGCCAGGAAACACCCTCTTTGCCCCAACAGCCTTCCCCCAAGAAACCCCATGCAGAGTTTGGCTTGGCAGAAGTGCAGGCCTTGTCCTTTTGGGGTGAAATGCACAATCTAATCTCATGGCCTGTATACAAGGGCAGATTAGAGAAGCTATTTCACGAACCACATCCAAGGGCCATATGTCCCATAATACACACATACGTGGTTTACCCTCGAGCAGTGCTTCAGGCAATAGGGAGACGGACCGGGCTACTCTCCCCCTCCCCGGCAGAAGAGAAGGAGACTCGAGCAGAGGGATGCTAGCCTGCTGCTGGGGGATGAAGATCAGGACTTAGTGGCCTCTTACTCATCCTCCCATAAGGAGGAGGGGGAGCTAACTGATAGAAGAGGAACCCATAGTCACTATAATGCAAAACTGCCTGTTCCCACAGGAAGTGTTCCACAAGTTCCTTCCCAAAGTCCTACACATATTGGAAATTCCAGTCAGCAGTCAGGGAACAGAAAAACCTGGATCAAAGTATCCTAAGGGTTCTACCAGGACTTTCCCACAAGAGTGGGCAATCCCACTGGGGATCCTCTTCCCTGTGTTGTTTGAGAGGGTGGTGCAATCCAAGTGGGAAACCCGAGCCAGGCCAAAGTCAAATCACCACATCACTCTGAAATTTTGTTCCCTGGGGCCAGATGCTGCTGAGCTCTTCAATCTTCCATTGGTGGATGACGCTGTGTCTACCCTGTACTCCAACACTGTCCTACCAGCGCAGACAGGCTGGCCAGGGAGGGACCCTTGTGACAGAAAAATTGAGCAGGCGCTACAAAAAGATTTTGATGCCTTGACCGCCTTAAGAGTGGCCACTGCATGCACATTGTTTGCCAGGGCTGCCTATTCACGGACATCAGACCTTTCAGCAGCCAATAGCAATGTACCTAAAGGGCTGAAAGATGACTTGAAAAAGATTACCTTGGCAGTGGCCTTCTCGGCAGACAACTCCTTGGATGCCATCCAGCTGTCTGCCAGGACCATGGCAGCAAACGTAACTGTCAGGAAGAATATGTGGCTTCATAGTTGGAAAGTAAATCCATCTGTGCGGGCAAAAGGTGGCAAGTGTACCCTTTAAAGGCACTCAGCTCTTCAGAAAAGAAATGGATCATTACCTGGTGGAGGGCAAGGACAAGAAGAAAGCGCTCCCTTTTCGTAGGAGAGATAGCAAACCCAAGAAGCGTTTTTCTTCCTTTTGGGTCCACAAGCACTCCTCAGGCTTCCAGAAGTTCAGACCCCACCCCCAGGGGAGATATTTATTTATTTATTTATTTTATGTCCCGCCCTCCCCGCATGTGGGCTCAACTAAAACACTCAGGCCACAGCAGAACTCAATTTAGTAGAGCACCAGAGCAGACCAAGAAAAGCACCAAAAGGAGTTTGTCGGTGTGACTATGGGTGGATGCAGGAACACACGAAGATTGGGGGCTGGCTGTGAGAGTTTTTGACCCAATGGGAATCCACCATAACCGAGAAGTGAGTGCTGGACACAGTAAAGAAGGGCTACTCTATAGAACTCTGTTCAACCCCCCCCCCAACCAATTTCTACAAATACTGAAGAACTGTTCCCCCCAGAAACATAATCTCTTCTCAAATGCAATACAACACCTTCTGGAGATCGGAGCAATAGAGCCTGTCCCAGAGGCCCAAAAGGCATCAGGAGTTCACTCCTTTTCATCATCCCAAAAAAGAATGGGGACATGAGAGCCATTCTGGACCTCAAATGGCTGAATAGGAGAATAAAGAAGAGAAAGTTCAGAATGGAAACCCTGAAGTCTATAGTGGCTTCAGTTCAGAGAGGAGATTTCCAGCGTCATTAGGTCTCTCCGAGGCTTACTTCCCATTTGCAAGACTCATTGCAGGTTCCTGCAGTTCACTTAAAGGGACTCAATGTCCAATGCAGGGCCCTCCCTTTTGGGCTCAAGATGGCACCAAGGTTGTTCACCAAGGTGATGATTGCCTTACTAGTGCTCTTGAGGACTTAGAAGGTGGTGATCTTACTGTTTCCAGATGACCTACTGATCAGGTCCCCATCTCTGCTCCAGAGTGAGAAGGACATTCAGCAAACTATGGCTTGTCTTCAGGAACACAGCTTTATTGTCAACAAAGAGTAGAGTAGTTTGTGTCCCAATGAGTCCTGCACATGGGGTCATGATAGACACAGCTCAGAACAGAATCTACTTATCATAGGAGAGGTGGGAGAAGTTAATAACTATGGTACGGGAACTCTCACAATGACACTATGTGGAGGTGATGCACCTAGCAAGGATTCTTGGGATGCTGGTCTCCTGCCAGGATATTGTCCAATGGTTGCATTTTCATCTTCACCTGCTCCAGGGGTCCTTCCTTCCTTTTCAGGATCTAATAGCCAAGAGACAGTGCAAGCTGGTTCAGCCCCCGGTACTGCTGTTACAGGACCTCTTGTGGTAGACAGATCACAGCAGGTTCCTGGAGGGGGCTCCTCTAAGGGAACTGAAGAGGATGCTCATGATTTCAGATGTAAGTCTCACGGGATGGGGGGCCCACTCTCAGGGGAGAACGGCGCAGGGTATCTGGTCCTGGGAGGAGGCATCTTATAGGTTATTTGTAAGGCTGCTATGTGGAGGTCCATTCACTTGTTCACCAGGCACTATAGAATTGATAAGCTGGCCTCAGCAATGGCCACCTTTGAAAGAAGGGTTCTACAGAATTCCATCTCAGTATAGGAACACGTCTTTCCCTCCTGGGAACAAACTGGTTTTCTGTGTTCCAGAAGTGTAGACTTGCTCACTGAAGGACCACTGGAGAATGGAAGATTTGTCTCACTTAGTGTGCATCTTTCTTCTCGGTGTTCCAGTCTGTTCCTGCCTGAGGGTAATTTGTAGGACAGTTCCCATCACAGTGGGGGTGTGCTGTTATCTCCTAGGCTTGCCTGAGCATGAACTCCCTTTACTTGGCCTCATAGGACATATGTGGAGTGTTGAACGTTCAAATAAGACTTGATTTAATAGGTTTAGGTATCCCAGCTAGCCCGGCAAACAGTGTGAAAAAAGCCGAGGTGGTTCTGGGTTCCAACTCCTGGGGAGGGATTTCTTGCTTCAGGACGACACTGGAGATGGAGGGAGAAGCTCCTCCCCCTACAGAAATTCCAAAGAAAAGGCAACCCTACCTTCCTGGAGGAGGAGCTTCTTCCCAGAAGTGTAGACTGCCCCACTTCTAGACCACTGAGAAGGAAGATTCAGGGTAAGTGAGATAAATCTTTGGGTTTTTTACAAAGTAACAGCACAATCTGGAGGCGGTGTGCTCAGGGAACCTACCATCCTGGAGATATGCTAGTGTAGTGCCCTGCTAAGCTGCGGCAACTCCATGGACCCCCGCCACAACCAGCACAGCCCTCTGCAGTGGTGAGGGAAAGGGGCAGACCCACGGGGGTGGGAAGAGTTAGTTGGCTCCCCAAGCTGTCCCAGCCTATGAAAAGCCCCCAGAACTTGTGTAAATTTACTGTGATGGCCCCTGTCCACTTCCCTCTCTCAGAGACAAGATTTTCTTTTCATTTTTCTTTCCCTTTACTGACTGAGCTGCCTTAGTAATGAGTTTTCTTCTTTGCTGTCCCTGGCTGTCCCACCCTGCCACAGTACGATATTTTGGCTGTTGGCTCAACCCAGGAAACCTGGGGGAAGATTCGGGAGCCCCCACATGTCCTGCCCACAAGCCCCAACATGGCACAGGATGCGGCCAACAGCCACAGCCAATTTCACAACTCCCTAGCTGTAGCCAATCCCCCTCCCCTGCATCCAATCACAACCCCCCCCAGCACTCCATAAACTTGAGCCATAAACCTAGTTCAAAAGAGAGGGCAAGTGGCACAGGACTCTGTCTCTCTCTGTAACATGCACAGTTAGTGCCCACAGTGTTTCACTTGCAGGAAATGCAAAGAGGGTGCACTTTGCATGTGCAAGTACCCCATCTCCAGAGACTCATACTAAAGGGGCAACCAACCTCTGAGAGGTGGAAAGAGATGGTGATCCAGGATGCTTGGCTCAGGAGTCTGCAACCACCTTCACTCCTTTGCATGTGCAAGTATACCCCATCTCCAGAGACTCATACTAACGGGGCAACCAACCTCTGAGGGGTGGAAAGAGATGGTGATCCAGGATGTTTGGCTCAGGAGTCTGCAACCACCTTCACTATCCCCCTCATACTGTCCCCCTGACACACAAACTGGGAAAATGGAGGTTCATTGTGGTTTGTTTATCTCCCCGAACCTCCCCTGGTCAATGAACCAGTTCATTCCCTTTAAATGGCTTTTGCAAGCCAATTCAGCAATTCCTCACAGTCCCCCTCACTTCCCCCCACGAACCCCACAGACCTCTGAAATCAAGTGGAGGTTCGTGGATAGGGATGGTCTCAAACCTCTGGTTTGCAAACCATGAACTGGCGATGTTCATCATGTAATTAGGTTCATGATGAGGCTTGTGCCCATCCTACCTCACACATACTCTGGATGTAACCTCTGCAGTGCAGGCTTCTACAACCAAGGCTAGTACTATGGGTGCAATCTGAGTCAGCTTCACCCAGCAGTATGCCCCATGTCATGCGTTGGGCGTATACTTCAAGGGAAATGTACCTAGGAGTGCTGGCTATGATGCCAGTGTGTGTGTGGCAGGGATGCTGGCAGCCCTGTTCCAGGCAGTTAGAATGGTCTCTAGCCAGGATGCCGCCTTCCCCCAGATGGGGGATGGGGCAAAACTTGAGTTTTGGGGGGCGTGATTGCTAACTGCTTCACTGTGCTCCATAGAACTGTTGGCCAAACAACCATGGCACCGATTTCCTTACAGGATTGGAGTTCTATGCAGGAGCAGAAGTGTGTGGAGTAGATACAGTTGAGGTACAGTCCACACAGTGGATGCATAAGCATTCTTTGGCTGTCTATGGCTTGTCCCTCGGGGGGGTGTCTTGACAAATGGAGCTCCTCCTCCATTGGAGACACCACAGACTTTACTGGGGCCCCACTGGCATGGCTGCAGTGATCACAACTACTGTTGTGTTCATCATCATTGCATATGTCTCTGTTCGGCATCTATGCATGTGGTCACGCAACAGGAAAGAGACCTGGAAGGATGACATTCCTTGTGTAGTATGAGATGGCTACAATGACCAACATGAATTCTGGCACTCTGCCATGGGGCTGCCATCTCAGTGATTCCTTCTGCAGCACCCTGACTCAGGCAGCCATCCATTCAGCAAGTCCACCTTGCTCACAGGCATGCTGTGATAGGGAGGGCTCATCCCATCTCCAGGAGCAGATTGCAGAGGCACAGGAGTCATACTGGATACTGTATTACAGTTTCTCTGTTTCTGTTCAATAACGTCTGGAGTGATCTACACCTCTGTCCTTGTCTCTTTGTTGCTCCCTGTCCCTCCCACTCCCACCCTTTCATAGCATACCACTACTCGTGGATTAAAGTTATTTTCACACTTAAAGAGGTTATAAGCATCTTCAGACTGTGATTTACTTAGTTGACTTTATTTGACTTAGTTAAATTTATTAATGCATGATAATTTGAGCAACGAGACCAACTGGAAATGTATCAGTGGTAGAAGGTTTCATTTGACAGGTTTGTTGAGTGTCCCATCTTCTGTGAATGGGGAAAAATTCACAGCAGTAATTCTAAAATCATGGTAGCCTGTTTTCTGCTGTTTAAAAGGTCAGTGACTTGATTTATTACAGTACAGTCAATCATCTTCCCACTCTTGTTTGCTCTTGATTGTATTTGGCTTTGTTGCAAAGGTCTCGTTTTTCCTTGTGGTGATAGTGTGCTGTGTTGACTGAGTGCTGAGAGAAGGTTTCTCCGGAATGGCTTTTGTTACAGAAACCAAGACTTGAAAGGCTTAGCAATATTGTTATGGTTGCCTAGCAACTTCCAAAATGGCGACTGAGAACTCAGTGTGCATTCTTTACTTAAAGCTACAAGCACTGCTTTTATTATTTTAGATAGTTTTAATCCCCCAATGTGTGTGTGTATCCTTTATCTATATAAGATATGTAAGATTTCAGATTTTTCTGCCAACTTGCAGCTTTGTGATGGTTTTTAGATAAATCCCCCAATTTGTCCCTAGCTCTGGTTTTCTGATCTGTTAATCCAAAATCTGTGACCCGGTTTGGAATTAGATATATGATTTTATGTTGATTAAAACCTAGGGTAGATTATTGGTAAATCCAGTATACCCTCCCCCCCTTCTTTTGTTTCTGGGTTTATTGTTTGCAACAGTTTCAATGAACTGTCTGAAGGGAGCTTGCTGTGACTATTCCCAGTCAACAAAAATGAAAATATATAGCCATGTGCATCTTTTCATCTTCCCTCAGTGTTGTCATTCACCATTAATACAAGGACAGGTATCATAGTTAGTTGACATTTCCATAAGCTGCTAACAGCAGAAGCATTCCATGGCAAAGCAGTAAGTCCTCTTTGAAATTCATACCTATTTTCAGACAATGGTAATATTGAAAGAGGATTTCAGATCTGTGATTCAATTCAGAAAATGCAAGCATACTTGATTCACAGCAGAGCACTTCTTCAAACACTGAATGTACCAGTTCTTGAGAAGCAATTACACTGATGGATAGTACCTCCAAAACAGATGAATATTACCCAGTTTTACAGGTTATTTTAGTTCCTACTGTAGCACCTTTAGAAATTCCAAGTATGTTTACAGGTATTAACATTTATTCATCTTGTTAAGTGTGGCCACCATTTTTAAAGATGGCAGCCAAATACCAAGATTAGAACAATTACTCCCGGGCTAAAATTTTTTCCTATCCCCTCAGTTAAGAATGTCAAACCTTGTAGAAATCCACAGGCTTATAATTGGATTTGTTACTCCCTAGATATTTGAGAAAGATATACATGAGTTCTCTAGTAATCAAAGAAGAATAACCACTTAGCATCAGTCCTGATCTTCCTCTTAAAATGGGATAACATAATATCAGCACTGAAATTTACAATCCTATGTGTATGGGCAAAAACATGTAACCACAACACCCAAAACATATGGTGTAACAAAAATAAAGTTTGCAAAGTATTCTAATATATGCAGAATAATAAGTGTGTAGAATAATAATATAATAATGTGTAGTTATATTACAGTAATAAAATTAGCAGCTATTAAAATGACCTCATCTAAAATATTTGCCTTATAACAAAATGTATATTCTATCTACTCTTTTGAGTAGCTATGGTAAACCTGGACCCCTTAAATAAGTGATAGTTTTAGATCTGTTGAAATTTTAGTTGTTTCTGACTATTAAGCAAACGTTGAGCCTAATGCAGGAACAGGGTACAATAATGTATGATCGAATTAGCATTTATAGTCCTGGCCATAAGAGATGTTAAAAAGAGATAATTGGGGGAAGCCTAGCTATCAGAGATTTGTATTAAAAAGTATACCTTCTTATGACAGAGTACTGGGAGTTATGATGCAACTAGGAATAAGATCCATTGTGGAAATAAATACAACAAGCTCTAGAAGGAGCTCTGGGCAGGTGCCCTGCCCTTGGGCACTCAGCATCAAGATATGTTTTTCAAAATAATTTACTGTAGTAATTCTATAGAAAATTCCCTTCTGTTATCCAGCTAATACATTGTGAAGACCTTGGGTTCTGTTATTAGAGAGTCAACACGGAATGTTTCCTTCAAGAGTTGATATATAGAAATTGATAAGAATTGTCATTGCTACATGCTCAGATAAAATGATTCTTGTGAAACGGATTTGTTTATATTGCGCAGTATTCGTTGCATGTGAGCGATAATAGAAGAGAATTTTCTACAGAATTACTACAGTAAATGATTTTGCAAACATATCTTTATTGTCTCTTCGTTATTTTCGTCACGGATGTTGTGTTTGGATTTCCACTTCCTCCCGTGATCACTCATTTTTGGCTTCCTCACCTGGAGATTGGCAGCAGTGGTTCCCCAGGAGGAAAAGTACAGTCTTTCTCCGCAGTGATCAAAGCAGCTTACATCATTCTCCTCTCCCCCTTTTGATCTGCACAACAACCCTGTGAGGTAGGTTAGGCTGAAAGTCTGTGACTGGTCCGAAATCACCCACTCAACTTCCACAGATCAGACAACAGATCTCTCCCCCCCTGGAGAAAATAACTACTTTGGAGGGTGGGCTTATGGCATTCTATTCAGCTGAGGCCTCTCCCCCCTCCCCAAGCTCTGGCTTCCTTAGACTCCAGCACAGAATATCCAGGAATTTCCCAACCTGGAGCTGGCAACCCTAGTCAGGACTGGCCCCAATGAGTTCCCCACAAAGGCCTGGAAAAGGCTTCCTTCCTTTCCCTTTTTACTGACAGAACCAAGCTTGGTTGCCTAGCAACAGCCACTGAGGGAAAAGTTAGTCCCACAGGAGCCAAGAAGAAGAAGTGTCTTCGTCAGGAGAGAGAGCCATTTTGATCGTTTATTCTGTGAGGGAAGAATGTCCAGGCTGGCAGTGGGCGGGGGAGAGGAGTGGACCCAGCACACAGCCAATGGCATGCGAGTGGCGGTTGATGGGCCAATGGCTGATGAAGCACATTGCACAGCCAATGGGTGAGCTGGAAATGGGCAATATATAAGGGCGTTATATATATAGGATACGTGTTTGCTTGCAAATATACCAGCTGAACAAAGAGGAGGAAGCAGCCCAAAACACAGTGGGCATCTTTAACAATGCAATCCTATGTTTGTATGTATGTATGTGTTTACATTTATATTGTGCCTTTCTCCCCAGTGGGGACCCAAAACAGATTACATCATTCTCATCTCCTTCATTTTATCCTCACAATAAGCCTGAGGTAGGTTAGACTGAGTGTGTGACTAGCCCAAGTTCACCCAGCAAGCTTCCATGCAGTTACTGTCAAGACACTAGCTTACCTACTAGTCTCTTGTACATTCTGAAACATTGGTTTAGGCCAAGGCCTATCAAAAATAATGGAATTTTCTCTCTCTGAGAACTCAAGGTCAAGCTGACTGTAGTTTCTAAGAGATAAGGAAGGATGGAAAGCACAGTTGCCTCTCAGACCATTAGGCCTGGCAGTTTCAAGGCCAAAGAATCCTGGAGAGAATTTGGACTACACATTCTGTCTCATTAGTGCAAGGACCCATGGAAGGGGAAGGTTTCTGTTTGAATGGACCCTAACCAACTACAGAGTATATGGTCTCATTAAGGCACCTGATTGGTTGGGTCACCTGGGTAGCAACATACTTAATTGGTCAAGTTACTTCATTGGCCATATGTTTGATTGGTCAACTAGAATTGTGCCAATGCGGGTTATTGGGTGTAAAGGAATAATCTTTCATTCTAGTTATGCCCTTTGTCTGGATTACATGTAACTTTGGGACACTTCTTTATTTGGGGGAGTGGGATGCTGGCCAGAGCACCTGTTTTGGACTTTGAAATTCTGTTGGACTCAGTTTTGCCAGGTAACATTGGGATCTAGAACTAATGCTTGAAAATGTGCTTAGGTTAGATATTTAGCTTTATTATTTTATCCTCACTGCTCATTGATCTTTTATTGTATATTCCTGCACATTATTTTAATAAATCACTTTAAATATGCTTCATGGTGTTCTTGGGTTTTGGGACTAAAGTCTGAATTCTGCACTATGGGGTATGAGGATTCACAGTTCAGCTCTTGTTGGTTTTGTCTTGACCAGCCTGTCACCCTTAAGGAGACTTAATATAAAGTCTTTTGACAGTTAGCTCAGTCTAGGCCCACTTTGTTTAGGGTTGCACTGTAAAACAACACCAGTTACCGGCAATAATAGCTTGCAGTTCCCAAATGCTGATTATTGTGAGCCAAATGCAAAAGTCTGTCACCGGCTAAATGCAAAATCGCTTCTCACTCAAACAGGTGTGGTGTATTGCAGATTTCAGTAACAAGTAGCTATCACATATCAAAACCCATTAAGCAAACACTTCTGACTAGCAACTGGTACAAAGCTATGAGAAAGCCATTTTACATCTCCAAAAAGCCTGCTTGCAAAATTATGATTAATACATCTCTCATTAAAAAACAAACTAATATTGGTTAGCTCACCAGTAATGCATAGCCTTTTTAGAAGGGTAAATGCTTGAAATAAATTTCAGGTTGACAGTCACCTATGATAGGAAATCAATCTCTTATTCAATGATTCCTTCTAACAAATCTGGTCACTGAGAGATTTAACAGGCCACATTATTTAATCTTTTTTATTAGTCTGTTTCAGTTGAATCAAGTTGCTCTACTTATAGACAGGATCATTTGTCAGATGTATTACTACCTGTCTGTAACATCTACATAATGGTCATCTCTGTAAACTGAAGATAGAACCAGGCAAACAAGTAATAAAAGTGAGGTAGTAGATTGATAATAGCAATTTTATGTGACTGAGTTTTTACATGCAGTGTTTTCATAACAAGTCATTTAACTTCTGACTTATGACATTTAGTATTAGTATGGTGACACATATATATGACAATCCACTATAAGCCTCATTCAAAAAGTATTTTACTCACTGTGTTCAGTGGTACCTATAAATGTATTTGAATCATTAAAAAAAAAACCTTTTGCATAAATTCTAATGTTTAGCAGAAAAAGACAGGTATACTCTAGCTGGAACTAGGCTTTGCAGCAGACACATCGCTTCCACCCAAAACAGAAGTCCTGCTTCTCTGTCTCCATACCAATAGGTAAATACTATAAGACACATTACATGACATCACTGTGCTGTGAGTTTCCCCACCCCACTTTATTGATCGGTGAAACCCATTAGAAAATGTGTGGCTTACATAGTAGCACACATATTGTATCACTTTAATGTTAATCGTGTTATAAAATGGAGGCACTACGTTGCTGTTTTCAGCAGTTGCCATAGTTCTCTTGTAATATCTAGTTCTGACCATATACTAAATGAACAAGAGGATTGTAAGATACAGGGGTCGTTTCATAGAAAAAGAGCTAGGGGAACTCATTAGCATAACTCATTAGCATATGCCACACCCCCTGACATCAGGGGCCCGGCGGTGGACCTGCAAGGCCGGCGGGAGCGAGAGGAAGCCCCGCCAAGGCCCTCTCCGGCCCCAGGCAGGCAGGGGTGGGGAGAGGCGGGGAGGAAGCAACTTACCCTCCCTCTTCTCCTGCCTCCTCCTGGCTGAATGAGGGCCGGAAGCGAGGCGACTGGAATCAGGGGGCGGGGCTTCGTCGTGTGCCCCGCCCCCTTTGCACCTCACCCGGGGGATCTGTGTTCCCCCGCGATCCCCCCCGAAATGACCTCTGGTAAGATATATCATGGAACAAAACACAGAGAAAATTAGACTACCATTAATAAAGACAGTCATTTCTTAAAATACTGGAAGCCATTTTTGAAATTGTACCAAGTTCTGTAGAATGGTATGTTTGTAGCAAATAAAGGCTAGGTTCATGGTATTAGTGAACTAAAAAGCTGTCCTTGGGTTATGATGATATACATCATCAAAGATTATTTTTAATGGTATGGCTAAGTGATAACTGAGTAAAAGCCTATGGCATATGCCCCCATGCAGTATTAGATGTATAATTTTCCTTATTGTTTGTATCTGGGTACTTTTGTTTCACAGTTGCCCATGCAGAATACGTTCTAGCCCAGACACTTTGGTTAGTATAAAGATGAAATATTGAAGAAAATAAAAAGTATTGCATTAATGAGTTAATGACATGTAACAAGATACTTGTTTACAGATTTGAATCTTAAGTATACTTTAAAAATTCAAATCAAAATCAACAAGTTCTATTAGCAAACAAATGTTAACAGTTTGGGTTCCAAGAATCAAGGCCCCTATGATGTGACATTCATCTGGGCTGCTGAAACAATGTGGGAATCAGGGCACCAAACAGCTTTCTTTTCCACCTAACATAATCCAGTTTCAGTCTTCCTTCCTAACTGACTTTTCTGGGTGGGGTGGAGAGCTTAATTTAAGCCAGGGTTTAGCCCCTAAATCATTATTCAGTACCACAGTTCAGCTCTGGAAGACATGGAGGTCATGAGTTAAGAGTTCTTTGTACATGTGCAGTGTTTTTTGTTCTTGACAGAATAATCTCAATCAACAGCATCTAATGCTGCCTCAGGAGCTTGCAACACTTGTAAAGGATTTGCTATATAGAACTGTGTGATCTCGATCTTTGCAGGTTTATTTCAGTAATTATCTCATTTTTGTTTTTTATTATTTTCTTCCTACAAACACTACAGACTACAAACACTACAACACTACAAAACACTAAAACACTAAACTAAAAGATAAGCTACACAAGGATCATAAAAATGATTAGTCATTAGCTTAATCAAAGTTCCCTCTATAATAAGGTTAATGGAATGTAGCTATTTCTTACAACTTCTATTACAAACTGGTATTTATATGTTTAAACCAGGTAAGTACACCTTAAACCATTAAACTTTCAAGTTTATAAGATTATATTATTTCAATTTCTTTCCTCTATATTTCTTTTTATCAAATTGCCATTGGACTTTCAGGGGTTTTGGGGCCGCAGCCCCTTTTTTATGCTACTTCATAACACTATAAGGGACAAAGCAGTGACTAATGGAATGTAGAGCAGGCAATGGATATAAAAAATTGGTTGTCCTTGGTTATCCCCTAGGGAATATTTTCCAGAATTTATAAATCACTGTATCCTCATCTCTGCATCTTCTTGTGCCTTAGGAAAAATTGTTGAAAACATTGAGCGAGGGAGAAAATGAATAAATAATCATTCATTTGTCTTTTTGCTCAATGGCAGTTATTCTAAAAATCATTTAAATGTCTACCAAAGGGGAAAAGTCAAATCAATTTCTTGGTAATGCACCTTGGTGTTTTGAAATATGACTGTGCCTTTCATTTAGTGAAGCATTCTTAAGGGGCTTTTTCCTTGTCCAGTTTAATGTCTTCTCTGCATGAAGCCATTTCTATCCTGTTCTCTCTCCCTTTCTAAAGGTTAGCCGACTTTCAAATTTGCACAGGTTTTCCTAGCAACATCTGTCAGCTTTTCTGTAAGCATACCCTTAGGAAATTATGAAAATTTTAAGACCAACTAAATACTGTTGGGACTTCCCCTCTGCACTAAAGATAACACACATGTCCAGTTTTATTTACTGCTATACATGTTTCTTCAGATTTACAGACCTATCTACAATACTTCAGATTTGATTTCTTCTTTCTTTAACCTGTATCAAAACCTGTTTTCCCCCCAGAGGCCTTTAAAGCAATCATAGCTTTCAAAAACAAGTTCTTCACTGGGTAGTTAAATTTCCACTTTAAATCCACAGCATAAATACTTCTTTAGTAGTAAATAATGAATACTGATAATGATACTTAGCGTTTAAATAGTGTGTTCCAGGTATTCAAAGCATTTTATGCACTTTCTTTTAGTAATGAATTATTATTGTTATTGAACTGGTGTCTTCTCCCCTGACAACTATTGTGCTACAGCAGTTTTTTCCCCCTTGTTTTTGTTTTTGTTTTGTTTTTTGAGTAATTTTGTTTTGGATGGTGGACTTCCATGTTTAACAAAAAAAAGTGTATCTACTGCTGTAATCAAGAAAATGTTGATGCCTCATGACAGCAATTTGTATTATTGTATTATTGGGGCTTTAATGGCAGTCAAGGGTGATCATTGATAAAGTAAGGCCAGGGCTGGTGCCAGGTTTTTTTACACACACTGATTTTCTCTCAAACAGAACAACACAAAAGCATTTTGAAAAATCCTGTTAATTGTGAAGTTGAAATTTAAGTCTCTTTAATGTTTCCATTTCAGGCACCTCAGAAACTCATTTTGTGTGCCTTTTCTTTAGCAAATCTTGTCACCTGTTCCTTCAAGTCAAGCACTGATGCTTCAGCATATTCAATTGGAATTGATAGATAAAACTGCCATGTTTGACACCAGTATAGTGATGGAAATCAGCTTGCCTTCCTGCAAAACTAGTACACTGAATATGAATTTTTAGGGTTGCCAGCCTACAGGTGGGGTCTGGAGATCTCCTGGAATTACAACTGAGCTCCAAACTACAGAGATTAGGTCAATGGCTGCTTTGGAAAGTGGAGTCCATGGCATTATGCCTTGCTTAGGTCCCTCCTTCCCCCAAACCCCACCCTCCTCAGGCTCCACTCCCAATCAGTAATTTCCCCAATCTGGAGTTGGCAACCCTAGTTCACTGGCAGAACAACCCTAGGTTTGTGGATGCACTGGATGGGGGTAGTTTGTGGACTGTGCACCAAAGGAACCAGTCCTCCTCAAGATTTTTTTCATGAAGAAAATGCATTTATATAAAATATAAAAAGCTACATCAAGATAGAAACACTGAGATACTACAACTCCCCTGTTTATAATGGAGTAATTTTGTCTGTTAATCCAAAATCACCGTAACCAAAGATTATCTATTCTTGGCATTCATAAATATCTTGAATAGTGTCGGCTGCTACAGGTATGGAATATTTTCAAAGCCTCAGGAGACTTTCAGAAAAGAGAATGTTCCGGGACTTCCGTTTTGTGGATTGGTGATGGCGGTCGCTCTCCCCGGACCTCGGGGAGGCGATTAGCACACCAGTGGCATGGAGGGGTGCCACCTTTGTGAAAGGCTCCAGGCCATAGGGCTTTTGAGGGTTAGCCTCTTCGACGGCTTGATGCCGGAGAATCGAGGCTTCCCTCCGCCCTGACTGATACCTGTGTGTTTCCTTTTCATGTAGGTCAGGTGGTTCACTGGATGTCTTGAACCATTTTCTGGAATTGATAATGGAGTGGATAAGGGCCAATAAATTGAAACTTTTAATTAATGTATTTATTAAAACATTTACATCCCCCATTTCCTCGTGGTTCAAGGCAGTTCACAATAACTTAATCCAGATGAGACTGAAGCGCTGTTTGTTCATAAAGGAGTCCTAGTTTTGGTAATCAGGCTGTTCCGGATAGGTTTGCAACTCCTTTTTGAGGAACAAGTTCACATCTTGGGGTACTGTAAAATTAGGGGGTACAGATGGAAGTATAAATTTCCTCTGTAGCTCACAGCACTTTTCTTCAGTTTTGTTTCATGTGCCAGTGACAGCATTTCCTTGCAAAGCATGATTTAGTCACAGTAAGCCTCACATGGACTACATTCAGATTATATGGGGCTGCTTTTGAAGACTATTTGCAAGTTTTAGCTGGCTCAAATTGTCTCAACAAGACTGATGGCAGAGTTAAATTACAGGGACCACATCTCTTCACTTTTAAAAGATCCCCACTGGCTTGTTTCTGAACAAAGTGCTGGTTATTGCCTATAAAGCCCAGAAAACTTGAGACCAGGACACCTGAAGGTCTGTCGTCTCTTGCATGAATTATTAAGAAAGATCATAATTGGAGGCCCTTCTCTGTCCCCATGGGCTGATGTGAGGTTGGTGGTCACCAGTGTTCCCTCTAAGCTGAGTTAGTGTGAGCTAGCTCACACATTTTTGTCTTAGCTCAGGATGGAAGGATGGCTCCAGAGCAAACTAATTTATGCAGTAGCCAAATTGCTCGCTCACAACTTTAATGTCAGTAGCTCACAAAGTAGAATTTCTGCTCACAAGATTCCACAGCTTAGAAGGAGCATTGGTGGTCACCAGAGACAGGGTCTTTTCTGTTGTGCTGCCCATTTGAAGATGGTTTTATAGTGTTGTTGGTAGGCATCCTGTCATACTCAACTAATAGCAGCACGTTCCCCTAGTACAAAAGCCTTTCTCTGGTACAAGAGGTTCTTTTGCTCAGGAAGGCATCACCATTAACTGAGCTGAGTGCTGGGATGCAATCTGTTTGCTTAAATTTGTTAGATGGCTTTTAGATTGCATGTGTTAATGCAACTCTGCTTTTTAAGTTTAACTGCAGCTTTCTAGTTTTATTGATAGTTATTGCTGTTTAGTTGTTTTATATATTTATTGTTTTAGTCATTCATGTTGTGAATAGTATGAGATAGAACTGTTTTAAACAACTAAATAAATGCAGATGTGTGGCCAAGATTGGAAGCTATCTGCTGACCCCAGTTATCCCTTAGCATACAGACTGGGAAGTAAAAATATCCTCTTTTCCACCTTACCTGTTCAGGTTCAGGATAGATCAAACAACTTCCTGCTCTTCTAGCTTTGAACACCAGTTGGTACTATAGAGCAGCAGTCCTCAACTTGTTTGAGCTGAGAGTATCTTTGGAATTTTGGGAGGGGTGGCACTTACCATAATCACTGCTGCAGGAGGTGGAGCCAAACCCAGTAACTCCCTCTTTGTTGTACAAAAGAGCTGAAGGAGGGGAATAAAAATAAATGAAGGAAAGTCCACAGGGCAGGGAGAGAGAAAGAGAAAGGAGAATTTTAAAAAATGAAGAAAAGCCTATAAATCCAAAAAATAAATTAATAAAATAAATAAAGGGGGAAGAAAAGGAGAAACAGAAAAGGGAATTAAAAAGAAAGCCTGAAGGGAGAATGGAACCACACACTGACTAAGGAAAGTCCAAGCACTTACCGGTCCTCCTAATATCCCAGTGACTGTGCCTTCTATTGCAGTCATAGAAACCCTTTTCATTTGAATGAGAACAGCCAGTAACTAGCCCTGCCTTACAATTATCGTGCTCACTTTCTGTAGGGTTGCCAGGCCGGGGGGGT